GTAATGGTTGAAAAATCCATAAATAGGCCCCGTTATTAAGGATACTTAGGGAGGAAACATTCTTGCCAAAAGCGAATATCGGACTCAATGACTGACAGAATGTTTCTTGATAATTTAAAGACGTTATTTAAAGTGCAAAGGTTATAACAAAGACCTACGAAGGCACGAGATAGGAGACAATCGTGGACGGTGAGTAGTAACCCAGAATACGTCAGGAGGAGACAGAAGAATGGCGGTAAACCTGAGATATAACAAGAGGACGGAGAAAATTACGAAATCATAAACTTACTCTGCACTCTTCATCTGAAACTGCCGAAGTGCCAGCAATTATACAAAGAAGGATGAAATAAACGGGACACACAGCACGCATTATTAAATTTAAAAAAAAATAGTACGTTTTGTTTTAAAAATCACGAGGTGACCATTTGCGGGAGCAGGATACAACTATAAATAAAACAAAGTAAAATTTAAGGAAACGGTGTGTAAGATTCTGGACTGGGCTGAAGCGGGCTTTAGCGAACACGGTGATACACCTTCGGGCTCTAAATGCAGTACATGTCTTTACCAGCTAAGGAACTATAAACTTTTCAATGAAAACTCTGTACCAGTGGAGCTAGTTCCGTGTCACACTCGTAGACGACAAACGGGTGGCACTGGGCCTCACTCAGCTGCTACACGCTACGGTAATGCGCCAGATTTTGTTGCACTGCGGCGGATTCTACCCGTCCCTCGACTCTGCCAAGGCCGTCCTTGGCCGCTTGCGGAGACCGGTGAAAATCACCGCATGGAGACCCGCAACATTTTCTACGGACGCAAAACAACTTGGGACACGTTTAGTTTTCATGGCGCCGAGCTGCAAAATTTGCAACAGTTTAATCTCATATAAGCGTTGCCGGGATCGATTTTCCTTTTCAGATTTAGTTATGAATGGGAACATACAAACGGGAATTATCAATAAGTTAAGAAGAGCACAAACTGTTAAACCTTTGAATCTAAAGTTCAATTAAATGATGTTTAAGAATTCAGTCGGTATCTCAAATAAAACACAACACTTCTTCATGACGAAGAGTTCTTGAGAAAATAATTTCCCAAAACGCAAAATGAGATATTAAAACAAATAAATTACGTACATAAAACTTACTTTCTTTGGAAAGCAGGTCGGTATCTCCTTGTAAGTAGCATTAAAATGACCTAAAACAAACCAGAGGGCACATATTAACCGAGAAAAAGCTATTCGTGGCATTTTAATACATTAAAGCTTACTAAAATTTAAAACACAAGGCAAATTTATAAAACTGCACGGACGACAAGAATTAAATCTTCAAAAGTGTATTATCACTGGCAGGGCTGCATTTTTTAAAATTTTAATTGACTCCCAATATGATAACCAAACATACATGCCTATTAAAAAACCATACTGGGATACTGGGAACGACCCGTTCTTTCAAGTTCCTGAGCACTGCGGGTCCCAACTTCTTCGTTGGTTCGATCTATAGACATTCGGTAGGGCTCCTTGGGCGAGGGATCAGCCCGTCGCAAGGCCTCTACCTGTACACAGGACAACGCGGACAAACATCAATGGCTTGAGAGGGATTCGATCCCATGGTCCCAGCGACCAAGCGGCACAAGGCCCACGCCTCAGACTGCTGACCCCTTTAAAAAACCATGGGTGAAGGATCCCCTTACCATTACCTTGATTCATGTCGTGTTGAAATCTAAAGAACTACAGAAAGTCCGCGGCTGTAACCAATATTCGATGCAATTCTTAAACTGTCACGTCACAGGCTTCTGATCTTTAGGAACAGAATATGTGTACAGTTTATAAAAACTATGTTATTTCAGAAGACGCCAAATTTCTAAAAAGGCAACAACACACAGGCCCAAAGTGTTCCATATTTCAGCGGCCTGTAACTAGGTTACTTACTAGTAATTTGCAAAGCAATATATAAACCTTCCATACTTAATTGGTCATACATAATGCAAAGATCGACCTGAACATTCATGTGTGTCATTACCTGTTGACGAATTATTCAAATTGTGGAAACGTTTACACAATTTCGCTCCAGTACGATTTTACCGCGGAGCAGAAATTGTCCTCTGGCAATAACACGTTTACACCGATGGAGTTAGCTTCCACAACGCACGCAAAACCTGACGCCACGCCATTCGACATTTAAGACAACGCCTTTCTCTAGATATCGAATTACATAGATCGATTCTATCATGTTTGTTACAAGCATAAATCGATGAGTCATTCAATACGAGACCGGAAATAGATTAGATTTGAAAAGTACGCTCGACTGACTGTGTTGAATCGGGAGGAAATTAAATAGAAAAATGTAGAATCACTGTGCAAAACATAAAATAAAATGTTTCAGCGATAAAGGCACACAGAATGGAAAAAAAAAGTTCAAAGCAGCTAGTACACTGGCCACAAACTATGGAAGACGTGAAAAGATACTAGTTCCATGATTAGAAGAAATTAATAAAGCGAACGAAAGAGGAGATGCGGAGCCTATGGAAGCGTAGAATGTGAGATCTCAGGTTCTCACGGCGGCGAGTTTGAAGACAGTTGTGTTTTGGATTGTAACTTCTTGCTTGTTGGTATAAATTTACCGACGTTTCAGAGGTGCTTGCTTGCATTAAGGATGTGATCATCTCCCAGACAACATGACGCAACAATCCAGAAGACAGCCATCTTTAAAGCAGACGCGTGATTAATTAAGTTTTGAAGTGAGCAGACAGGAAGTAACCCTTGGTGTACCGAACTGTCGCTACGGTACACGTTGCAGTGAGAAGACTTTCCTGCAACAACCAAATCGATTTCTACAAAACGTAGCCTCTGGACAGCTGCTACCCTCACAACAAATGCGGGGGTCTAAATCCGTATAGGACGTTTGATTTATGACTTTACTCTGCATTTCAAATACAATAGGATTATTGTAACTGGCACCGAATAGATTTCCTCCTATCGCCTGACAATATTTCACCAACTGAAAACAGAGGCTGCAGTGCACTGTGCTTTTCAGAAACATGAGACGATAAACATTAAATTCGAATACGAATAAAAAGCAGTACACAGTTTAACGTAAGTCCTTCCGCAATTTCTCCCACCTACAGAATCTAACCTTATTTCTAGATCAAACATACCACACATCACTACATACGCCTAATTCAATCCTAAAGGGTTTTGGCAATGTGGATTACAATTAAAACTGCTCATTGCCTAGACTTTTCCCATCGTCCTTGTTTAAAAGACGATACCACGACGTTTCGAAAAGTGGCTCCGTTTCCAGTTCGGTCCCTCAGATACAGCAAGTCCAGTGATGGAAACTAGCTCCGACGGAACCAACTTCTCAACTCTCTCAGTTCCATGGAGTTTGTTATGACATAAATATTCACATATTGTGACTATTTATTTTATTTAGTGTTCTGTCTGACGACATGTCCATATGAACAGGATCCTTCCATCCTTTTCTCGGACTGGGACCTGTTCATATACGTTCTTGGCAGATGATCCAGAAGTGGTTTGCCATTGCCTTCTTCTGTGTGTGAATGGAGTAATTGTTGGGATGCCACGGAGGAAAACTCCGTGTTGCCTAGACCACGGCCTTGCCCAACACAAGTTATAAATTCGGGCACCGCCGGGAATCGAACCCGAGACCCCAGGGCCAGCGTTCTAACCGCTAACCTATCCTAAGAAACACAGTCATTAATCGGAAAATACGACTCACGTGTCGATATATTCGAAATTACTCGATACGGAGCTATTAATAAAGCATGAGTCAAACACGCACTGAAATACGAAGCATTTGCAGCAGGACACGGTCTTCTTGAGAGGCAATGAACGGTAAATCAGATATAGGAAGGAAGAAGTGTGCGCGTTCGTTGTAGAGATTGACAGGGCGTGAAGGATAAAATGCGTGATGCAAATACAAATCGCAATGAAACAGTACAACAAAACAAGATTGGGAACAACACGAGGCAGAGAGAACAAAATGACGAAAACAAGACGGAATGAATGAAAAAGCTAAATAAGGATATCTGCACGTGCTTTCAGCTTCTAAAAACCAGCTTCACAATCACTTGGTTAAGTAATTTGTACTGGTAAATTGGTTCTGCTCTGCAACAGTTCTATTGACACGGGAATGGATTTGCTTAACCGATGTTTGCTGAGGGGATTTCCCTTTTGGAGGACGTCCATTGCGTCACAGTTGCAAGGATCACTTGAAGTGAAGTGGTAGCACTGCACGCTTTCACTTTCCCGTCAATTGCATGCATCACGTCTCGGCACTGCACGCTTTCATAATGTTTTGCTCTTAGACATGTCTCATTGGATCAGTTCAGCAAATCGACAGCGTCTTGTCCACGTGTGAACCTGTTATCCGTACAGACATGTTAACGGGCATCAACGACACGAGTCAATGCTTCATCATCATCATCATTCTGTGCTTAAAATAATAATATAATTAATCACTTGCACTGACTGAAAATACTTCATAGATATGCCGAAAGACATATATAAAGTTATCAATCATTAACTTTGATAATTTGAATTCTGATTGGTGTTGTCGGAGTGTTAAATATGGACCGAATCTGAGTGATGAAATATCGTACGACTTTCTTATCAACTTGTAGGAGCATTAAGGTCTGAGTGAAATTAGAAAAAGAGTGCAGTAGAAATCTTACAACTAGAATTTCCATAAAAAGTAATCGTTTTGTTTGTTATTACAATTACAACTTCTGATCGTCCTAATGATGCAGGCAAAAATCATCTATGAAACTGTAAACTACCAAACTGCATGGCGTAGCAAAACAGAAGACAGTAATCTTCAAACTCGCCGCCGCGAGAACCTAAAATCTCACCTACATGCTCTTTATGAAATGCTTGGAGATAATTCATAATTGGCCTACGTCGTATCAGGAATACACACAGGATATGTATCTGACAGATTATGGAAGTGAAGAGACGTGTTGACGCATCAGCCATCCACGGAGTCCTACTAAATATCTACACGATCAACTGTCTTGTGATCAGTTCTGGATCGGAACACGCCTGAAGCAGTAATATTAGCTGTGAACAGAACGGGCTTCAAGCTTTAAAGGAGGTCAAGACTGAATGTCACACACCAAGTTACCAACGCAGCTTGCGGAAAATTATTCTCATTCACACGTATTTATAGATTACGATAACAAAACGTTCCCAACAGCACTTGCAAAGCTATTTTCCGGTTAAACATAATTCTATTTCTAAAAAAAAATCTCCATAAGAAATGTCACATGTCCACCTCAAACGCCTCATTATATGATAAACCGAAAGATATAGATAATTTTCGCATAGCCGTCTTGTTGTTATCACTGACTACAAAATTAAGTTTTTAATTTCATACATCCATTAATAACAACAAGGTTAAAACAGAGGCATTCACGCTGCACAGTCATACATCATTCTACTTTTATTTGATTAAATACTCAACATCTAAATAAATATTACTAGTAAAAGCTGCAGACTTTCATTACGTCAATGTTTTGTCAGACATCTATCTATACGATTCGCCATTTATTAAAAATATCGGCAACTTTCAAAATAACCTTACAAACGAAAACTAAATTCGGTCGACAACAACTGTCATTGTGCTGTTCAACCACAATACCAAATTTCTTCGATATTCGTTTAGTAAATAAGGATATGAAACTTTCAGATGGACAGACAAACTTTTCCATGATTATATAACTTCCGAAAAGTACCACGCGTTCTCTTTGGTATCGAAATAAATAAATTCAAATATTTGAAGCCGACTACAGTAGATAAGTGATCCGAGGTCGATCAAACACTCTGATGGTGGGGGTGAATTTCAGTTCGGGAAGTTTTTCTGTATCCTGCGTAGCGCGAGACGTTGTAATGGTCTAACCACAGAAACAAGGAATCGCATCGAATATCTACCATTAAATAAAATATAAAGACGATACCAGGGACGATAAATCTGGTAAGTGGCCGGGTTACTGTAATACAGCGTCATTAAATGAACAATCAAAATAGTAGCATGCCGCTTAGGAAGGTGTCCTCTTTACCGAAGAAGTGACATCCTATGCTCCCAGCCACACGAAATCTGTCTTTGGAAATGTCAAGACATACGCAGGCACTGGAAAGTGGAACGTTAATTTTTATCATGAACACATGGCTCCTCGGT